TGTAAAGAAAAGAATAAATTTGGTCAAGAAAAGAAAGCTTATATATTAGTGATTATTAGCATAATTGTTATTGTCAGTATCGTTGTTGCTACTATTTTCTTTTATTTACACTTTTATCAGCATATTTGTTCTGCGGTTTTTGTGCAAAATAGTGAAACAATGAAGACAACAGTAACGGTAATAAATGGTTAATGTGTTTGAATTTTTGTGATCTCTGTATCAAATCAAGAACAGTTGAACAATGGCGATGAAGTGGCAAAAATGTGGAGGATATTACGAGCCGTTATCGTTCGTTGCTCGCCAACCCCGGCCAAGAAAGACCCTTTACCAGCTGTTTTGTAGGGGTGAGGGGATATGACAATAAGACTTCTTCAGTTTGTGCACTCAAAAATCTTACGCGAGTGTTCCTTGTTGATACGTATTGCAAAATTCCACTTGAGATGACAAAAACAAATATTGCTGTCGAAATGAGTGAAAAATAAGACGATATCTGCGGGGTGAAAGAGGTGTAACTTCTAAAAAAAGAAAAAAAAAACAAATGGTGTTTTTTGGAAAATATTAACCTAAATTAATATGTGCTTTCTTTTATTTTCGTCTTTGTTTTTTCACTTTCTTATTTTCTTCACTTGGGAGCTTAAGTTTAGAACAAACTGAAGTGTTTTTTTGTCTTTTCGTAGGTAATTTAACTGAGCACTGAAGTGCTGATTTTAGGCTAAATATCTGCAGTATTATTACAACTGCTAAGAATTGAAATGTTATGGGAATCTACTGGAAGGCTAAAGTTTTCAGTTGAAAGACTATTTTACACGCTACTATAGATAATAGTGATCAATGAAGGCTGTTTAGCTTTACAAATAGGGAAGATTTTTGAAGCAGATGAAAAAGTTTTAGCAATTTTTTTTTCGAAGTTAATAGTTGTAAACCGTTTTCAAATTTTAAAGTGAGCCTTGAAAAGTGGTGCCAAACGATCAGATAGATTTGTAGCAGTTTTGTTAATTTAATTTGAACTTTTTACTTATTACTTGGAACTTATCATTAATATTTATTTATTCTTCTTTTTCATTCTTTTTTGTTGCATTAATTGATCCAGAAGAAGAAATATTTTTTTTATTACATTCGCCTAAAAGAATTGCTTTTTGAAATTGATTAGCTTTTTGCAGCATTTTTTAAATCAAATTTTTTTTTCCTAGAAATTCTCCCCTTCAGTTTCATTTGCCAAGCTGGTTCTTTCGTTATACTTTAGGATATTCATAATTATTGTCTCGATACTTTTGGAAAAAATTGAGATACAACAAATTATAAAAGAATAAATAAAGGTTGGTGAAGAAAAATCGATGGTGAGAAAAGAAATGATACTATGATCTAAGCTTAACTTTAGATGGATACTTAGATTAATACGAAAAAGTGGGAAATTTAAACGCAGTTTATTGACGGTTATAATAATGTCTGTTTTAAAGAGGAGAAAAAGATGATGTCGACGCATAGTGCAAAGTTTATCCAACTGTTTTCATGACAATTTAAGCTTTTTTTTCTTGCACAAAATATTGATATAATTTTTATGGGGTAATTTAGGCTAAATTGTGCTATTAAATCGAGAGCAAGAACCACCGTTGATTGTTCATTTTTATCTATTTTTACTTCTACAAAAGCCTTTGGAAGTTCACAGGTTACATTAATCGTTGTTGGTATATTTTCATAGGTTTTTATACTGCGTATAGGCCAGTTGAGATATAAGCAGCATATTTTAGCTGATGGATCTAAACGACAGCCAAGATGAAGATAGTTGAGAAGTCAGAAGTCAGTTGTAGAACTGTTGTTGCTTTTTCCGGTCAGATTATTGTGCTGTCTGTTTTTGCTTGCTACCATCATCACCATCATTATCGTCATCCGTTTGCACAAATAGAACAATCTTTTTAGGGGCTCTTCAGTTTCAATAGCTGTTCACTGCTTAACGAATTAACCGCAGCTGCAACTCGGATCAGCTCAGCGTTTCGACCTTTTTTTTTTGGACTTTTTATTATTTATTTTTTTTGAATAAGTGGCATATTTCTTAAAAACAGGAGAAAATATTGCAGAGCTTCTCATTCTTGTTATATCAATACCTCCTGCTTTTGCATATTAAATAATTTATCCAGGGGAAGCTTTGCGCTAACTTGCATTAAGGAAGAAATCTAAGACTGGTTGCATGTTTGCATCTCCAGCAGTATTTTAAGGGTCTTATCGATGACGTTTGAAGTTTTTTATGTCTGAAGGAGGGAAAAGAAGAAAAAATTGCATTTTTTTCTTGCTTTATATTATTTTTGGTACATCGTAACAGTGAAGTGTTGCAAATTTAGCTGTAACATTCCTCTTTTTTTTTCTGTTGGAAGTGCTTTAACACTTCAATTAAACCTTTTCTGTAGATAATTGTTAACTTTATTTCTTTCGCCTTTTTCTTTATTTTTATGCTTAGCATTTAAATTAATCTTTTTTTGATTTGTTTTTTTTTCAAAGTTTATTTGGCTTTTATGTTTTTTTTTTTTGCGGACAAAAAACGTAATTTTTTGCTACATATTGTAAAGTAAAAGAGTGAATTAAATTTCTAAAGATACAAATTCAGTTGAGAATACGTAATTTGGGCTGTAGGCGATAAATAAAACAGAACAAAATTTACGAATGGATGAACGTTAGGTGAAAGGGATCAGTCGTTGAGTGACTGACAGGTTCTGTGGATTAGACAGTACAAATACAGAAGAGAGCGGTGGTTTTAATAACCTACTGTTTTATGTTTAATGGATTAAGTTTGGTTCTATGTAGTTCTGAGCTCAAAATTGTCCGGACAAAAAACAATTCTGACCTTAGTGTGCGGTTTTTAGATGTTTAAAAAAAAGTAGCAGTTTACCGACTCTTTACGTGCTTAGTATCATTGGGCATTTTTTTTAGAATTGGAAAATAAGCCGAGTAATGTTTATACACATATAAATATATATTTTTTGGGAAGAAACCTGACTTTTTTTTTTTTACCTGTTTTGTAATAAAAAAACTGACTGTTTGTTTACTTGGTTAAAGTTTTCACAAAACCATGTTTAAGTACACTCTTTTTTCTTCATTTTTTGTTTCTATATCTCTACAACGTATTTCTCTATTCATATTCTCGTTTTTTAATTAAAAAAAACCTTTGGGTCAGAAAAGTACCACTTCTGTTTTACTGCTAAATGTGCTCGTTGGTTAAAAACCAAGGAAAAAAATTAGGAGGAAAGAAGTGTACATACCGACTTAATTATGTGAAGATATTCTAAATGAGGCAGGGAAGAAAAAACAACAGCAATAACTATCGGGGAAAAAGAGGTAAGAAGGAAAAAATCTGAGGAGGCTATTAAATGAAGTCGAAGATTAATCTTCTATGCAGACTGTCGTCGAAAGACCCTCCAAAGACCGTTCTCAACCAGTGTAGCTGTTACCTTTTTTCTTTCACGCTGCTAAACCCACATTGCTGTCGTTGCTCCCGGTGTCGCCTTGAGTTACTCGAACTGATCCTCTTATGGTAACGGGGTCAAATACTTAAACAACTGACTGGTTGATTACCATGTACTACCAGATGCACCCTATATTGCTAAATTTTTGATTGTTGGACTAAGGCGCTGTATTTAGCTGAGTAAATTTGTTTGCTTTACAACAACGGCAACTACTACTTGTATCAAAAATTTGGGTAAAGGCTAATGCTTAGCGGAGTATTCAGGGTTTTTAAGAGAGGATTTGAAGACTTTTATAAATGTTGTGACAGAATCTGTTTCTTTTAGTATTCAGTCTGATCTTGAAGATTATTGCTGCTGTTATTGGTGTGCGCTTGCACAAAATCTTGCAAATGTCTTCTATCAGCGGAGAATTTTAATTAAAAATATAAGTTTTTTTTGGAATCTCTTGCAAGCGGAATAAATCTGCTTACATCTGTTTGTAACTGGTATTTTTATTTTGGGAGGAAGAGGGGTAAGGCACGGAAGGATTAACCAGTTTGATAAAATTTAGTTTTCTTCAAACATTTGGAAATTGATGACAAAAAAATTTGGTGGTCATCGGTAAGAAGAAAGAAATTTGTGCTTATTGTTTAGGAATTGTTTATTTCACATTTAACTACTCTAAAAGAGGTTTACTAATGTTAGTGTTATATGTTGTAGAAAAACAAGTTGACTTTCTTTTGTTTTTTTTTTCTTTCGTTTTTTATTTTACCGCTTACTTAAAATTACTCCTTCAAAAAAGAAAGGTGAATTGAGGAAGGTAGAAGAAAAGAAGTAAAAGAGAGAATGGGGAGAAGAGAAGAAGAAAAAGAAAAAGAAAAAGAAAGGGTGAAAAAAGTGAAGAAGTAAAAGAAGAAAGCAAAAATAATGAAGAAAAAACAGTGAAAAATAAAAGAAGAAACAGCACTGCTACTGATGGGAGTCACTGCTTAGTTAAGCGGATTGCTGTTTTTCATTTTTGCTTTATTTTTTTCTTCTTTATTTCCCTTTTTTTTGACTTTTTATTTTTTTGATCTGTAATAGGCCGTCTTAAGTATTCTTGGCTATTGATCGCCTTCTTTTTGGTACCAACTGTGCATATTACCTGAGAGAGCAAGAAAGAAGAGTTAAAAACTGTTGTGTTAAGGCCGGTACTTATTTGGAAATACAAGAATAAAGAGAAAAAGCAGAAAAAATTTGGAGGAAAATTTAACAGATAATTTTTTCCTTGTTTTTCTGTTAATATTTTAACAAGTAATAATGAATGAAACTTTTTTTAATCTTCTTTCTTTTCTTTTAAAGTATTTACAATTTTAAATACACGTCTTTTTTTTTTTGTTGTTTGCTTGTCCAAGTTACATTAGCATTTATAATCTAATACGCTTCGTTCATAGTTGCTTATGCTTGCCAATGTATCACACCTCCTCCTAAATAAATGCTCATTGTATTTGGGGGTTCGACTGGTACTGTTAATCAGTTTGAACTGCTGTACTGAACAATTGAATGGTTATATAAACTGCTTTCAGAATGGAGGATACCGCTGGAAGATCGTACATTAGGTTAACATCGTACTTGGCACCAGAGGTTAATCGAACTGTTGGTCAACAGATTCGATACAAATGTGAAGCTGCTGGGTCTCCAAAACCTGTTTTCAGGTGTGAATTTTACTATTTTTATTTTTTTAAATTACATTTATTATTGTTAAAACTCCGGCTACTCTGATCTGTCACCATCTCTTCAGTCGTTTTCAAGAAAAATACCAGAAGAAAAAAGTTGTTGAATTTGCTTTTTCTAGTGTCTTGGAAAAAAAAGAATAATAATTATAGTAGTAATAATGGTAATAATAATAGTAACAATGGTAATAATAATAATAACAATAATAATAATAATAATA